GATCAACTAAAGAGATTTAGAGAGAGAGAAAGCTTATGGAATGAATTAATTCAAGTAGGATGACATCTCCACTCAATGTACAGAATACATTAGAAGCTTAAAGATGATACAAGGTAAATGACCCCTCATTTGCATTTTTTATTGTATTAATTACTATTCTTTTGGACAATTTGAAAACAGAAAATCCAGCACGCAGACCACAACAAATGAAGTAATTTTCAGTACTGCTCATGGTTTTGGCACTGGCATGATAAGAAAGTCGATTTAGTTTAAATTTTTAATTACATTGAGAAAAAGAAACACTTCACTGTTTGATCATTCAATCTTCTTATTTTATAACTGGAAATATAAAAAATATTCACCAAATCTCATCTGTCACCACAAGCCCAATGGAAGTTTGTTTCCTAGACTGATGTTATCTTAGTGAAGGCTATTTCACTTCATGTATCAAAAGATTTTTACTCCACAGCAAACTCAGACGCTGAGAACTGTCTTGTATTGGCAAGACATGTGTCACATAAATAGAACAAAATCGGTAAAAACCCACGTCTTTCAATGCTGCAAAGCCTCCTTTGCTTAAGAAATGTGACATCATATGTGAAAATTCAAGGCATTTAGTATTTCATGAAGATAGTGTAACAAAAAAAAACAAACCAAAACAAAGATAGGGTTAATACTATTAACTCAGCTGCTTCCATTGAGGTGAAACTTGGATTTGGGGGTAATAAGAGAGATTTTATACTTCTATCAAACTTCAAGGTGATATAAAAGGCACTTAGAGTGACAAAAAGAAAAAATCAGCTCTCAGGAGGTGACTCCCAATATGAAAGCACCCCAGTAAAACCTGATACAGAAGACAAACTGCTCAGCATCACCACAAGCCAGAGTGCAGTTTTGAGAAATGCCCTGTACATATCCCAGCTTCACTCCTGAATATTCTCCTGTAGTGCCATAGCTACACTTTTTCTACCACATAATTACTGACAGGTTGGAAGAGAGGAACTGAAGAAAACTTCCACTTTTGACTTCTCATCCAGTAGCTCCCAGTGTTAATCCCCAGCTGAAGAACTGAAATCAGTCCACCTTCATGATACTTGTTTATTCAAACAATACTACTCTATTTGCAAATTAAAATAGCTTGCACCCAAAGCTTTGGTATGGCTAAATATCTTATTCCTAAACTGAACACATAGTCTTATTTGGTTGCCAGTTCAGTGTATTAATTAAAATTTTAAACAAATTAACATCATAATTTCAATTTTGCCATATTTCACATGTAAATAATCACCAGCTGCATAGGAAAAAATTAGAAAATTACTGGGAGAATCTAGTCCCTAAAACAGACTTCAGATGTTTTCAAAAACCAAAACCAAGGATCAGTAAAAAGCCTGACTCAAACGTAATGGTCACTCATGTTCTGATGGAATGCCTAGAAAATCTATTTTAAAATAATTATTAATTATTATAATTACTATGAATCTCCCTTTCTTCAATAGACAGATGGTGATATTAAATAAGAGATTCAGTCCCAAACAACACTTTCCTTTTTGCATCATCAAGATTCTGTTGGGGATTACATGAGTCATGGAAGCTTTATGTAAATATTTGAAGATAGGTTCAAAATGCACAGTTAGAATTTTGTTTTATTTTACACAACATTGCAATAGTCACACTCCCTGGTGCAAGTACCTGCAGAGAATAGAAAGACTTCAGTCACACTCAGCTTTTGAAAACTCTTTTTCAGATAAACTAGGTGGAAGCAGTGCTTTTGATCCAAAATTCAGGTGCCAGCAGGAAAACATTTCTGTCAGATCAGCTGGGTTAGCAGGCTCACTTACAGCTGCTACATGGATAATGGCAGAGTGGCAGGAGGAGCACGTGCCACAGCACAGGACTGCAGGGCTGCTTTAAGGCACAGCCCGGTAAGAATTCACAAAAAAATAAAATAAAAATAAAAGCAAAAAAAAAGAAAACTCTAAATCTGAACACATTCAAAGCAGGAATTTATTAATCTGAAGAGGTTGCTGTTTCTTGGTAACACATTTCCATGAGATTGCATTTACATTATCAACTGGCAGCTCAAGCTTTATAAACTGGGGGAAAAAATTACCTACTTCTGTTTACTTACCTGCTTATTTTTTTGCAATACCTGCTAGTAGAATAGGTAAAAGCTTGACCAAAAACTAAGAACAGAATGTTAAGCCATCTCGTTAACATGCATCAAAGGAAACTGGTTATCATTACAAATGGAAGATATGCCACTTGTGAATGTTTTATTTACTACATTAACACAGCCTAGCAGCACTGCTTCACTTAAATGGTGCTTCACAAGCATTTTGATTTAGAAGAGAGCCTTAAATTCAACTACAATTTCTTTGTAACTAATAAAATAAAAGCAGGCTGAAGAAGCTACTAGATATTATATACAAAATTTGAAACACTCCATATTTTTGGCATTTGTTCACCAAACTTCAGAAGCACATAATAGCACAGAATCTTTTACTTTTGTATTCCAAATCAAAACCTGAGCTCTCTAATACTTAACTTCTGAAGAGTTGCCATTGTGAAGTGCAGAGTTTCTCTGTACCTCAGTCTTAGGTAAGTTGCTCAGTTATACTCTCACAAAGCTGCTCAAAGAAGAGACTTGGTCATTCGAGGTGAAAAGACTTAAGTTTAGGCTCTGCAGGCTCAAGCAAGCTGCTGTTTTCTTCATGTGAATTGCAACAGTATTGGCAATGAAAGCATGGCCACCTCCTCTGCACAGCTTAGAATTGGGCAGAAAATTAAGAGCATGATGATTGTAAAGACTGTCCTTCTCCAGCTAAGGGATTTTAGGATTCTCTAAACTGGACTGATTACTGACTTAAATTGAAATAAACTCTGACTCCCAAAACTACATTTTTGGATACAATATTAAGTAATACAGGAATTTTAGCTTAAAAGCAAGCATAGACCTAACCAGGCACCATTTTTTCTACAACATTTAGTGATGGAAAAAGTGCATTTGCAAGTATATATTGGTCAGGCATATCAAGTTTTTTCTTGGATTAAAGTCCAAATAAAGCTTTTTTTTTCCCCCAGAAATATTTTTCTCCCATTCATTTGCCCACTTTATTACAATAGTCCAGAATAGGGACAATATGTTGGAGAGAAATTTAAAAAACAAAACAAAAAACAACTAAAAAAAATTGAAGTTGGTTAGTTGTTTAATCTGACACCAACTACACTTTTCAAGGTAACTATCTGTAATGTGGTTATGTACAAACCAGTACTGCAGAGACACACCTGCATGGCACTTTAGAATTCTGCATTCTAGAAGTAGAACAGACCCGCATTTTTGGTGTTTAAGGTCGCATATCAGATTTGGGATGTGCCTCAGAGACTTCAGTGGACTGAACTACAGATTCAGTAAGAGCTGTTAGACTCTTAGCTGCTCCATCAACTCATTGAAACAAGCGCAGTGAATCAGATAAACCTACCTTAAATCAAAGCTGATATAACAGCTCCACTGACTTTTCACAGACTATTGTTCTAATAGTTTGAAATACGATTGCACAAAACTGGAAAAGTATTTGGATACATAGAAAATTGTACAATTCAGTTTACTAAAATTTTACAGTATTTCTGGTTTCAAGGATAAATACAAAGCTTGACACACATTCATATGTGGTGATTTTCAAAGGGTAGATGGAAAGGGGATATGGAAGACAAAACAGAGTTTTTTTACTACTGAGAACAGCAGAAGAGCCTTTTATTTCGCCTGTGAAAAGCTGCCTGAATTCTGAAGCTGAAATTGAAGCAGCTAGCAGGAGTTTGCATGTGGAAGGGCTCAATTTGTGAATTGTGTAAGAATTCACAAAGTACTGGGCAGGATCCAGATGTAACAATGTCAGCTGCTTTCTACCATTCCTTATAGTATCATACCTTTACTGGTTAACAGTGGGTCACGAACAGTGGGCTACTATCAAATGCTGTTTTAAGAGTGTTTTGCCCTGAAAAGGCCTAATGAAGCATGAAGTGAGAGATCTGGGGGTAGTGAACAAAACCTACCTGCCCTGAATAAGTGAAAAAGCACATTTTAAATGGCTTCTACTGGAAAAGATAAAGAGTTACATGTGCATTCAAAAGAGATGGAGTACCCTGGACAAATGAACAAAAACTCCACCACATAGCTGGGGTATGAACAAGATGCCAAACAAAATTTTCTTGTTATCATTCAAAAACTTCCTGTGTTTTAACTAAAAAGTCCTTTTGATTCACATCAAAGACATGACTGAAAACTCACCACGGCTCATTGTAGTACTTGTCCACTTTGCAGTCTCTTGAAGCACACGACATAGTGGTTTATAAGAGAAAAACATCAATGCACAAAATTTAGAATAAAGCCAGGTAGAAAAACAATATTATGTCTAAAAAAAATGAACCCTTAACTAGTCCAAACTGTATCCAGTAGGTTCCATGACTATGTCATTATCGCCAGATTAAAATATCTAGGAGATCAGAAATAAAACACATTTGACCCAAGAGAAGGAATTTAAGACAAACAGCTAAACCAATTTTATTAAAAATGAACTTTTGAAGTTTTGATGGAAGATGAAATAAAGGGTAAGTTAGGTGTGCCTGACATTTTAAGAATATTTTTCATGACATCATAAGAGTATTTCTCAATGTTTAAAGAACGATTGAACTGAGCATTCTGAAAGTGTTCAGGTCACCAAGTTGTGAAAATGACACAGCAATTAGGGTCATATAATCAAAGTTTAATGAGAAGTTCAAATTAACACTTATTGGTGCACTACCTGAAATGGTTTTGAAAATGTAATTTTTGGTGCTTCTTTGACACCATCCGAAATCTGTTTCAACACCTGTGTCTTGTTCTGAAAAGGCTTAAAACACGAAAAGAAGGAACAATTGTTTTTCTCCTTCTCTCATCTCCCCTTCACCATTTTCTTGGATGAAAAACCCTAATCTTCTTCCAGCATAAATAGAAGCAAACAAGGTTTAAACATTTGAAAAGATATAAAGGTTTATTAAATGAATCCAGATTTGACAGATATTACATTAAATTAAACAGCAATAAAGTTTTACTAGGGTTTATGTACAGATCACAGTGATTTTTCATTGTGCAATGAGGGCTGACTTTGTAACTTTGAACAGTACTGACACGTGAGCTACAACAAGCAACCAGCAACACACAACATTAGCCCAAGTGAACCTCGCAAATGGAGCAGTCCAAACTGATTATGCAGCACACAAATGCCTGCTACCACTATCACTACTTACTACACAACAGAGTATTTATAAAGCAGTCAAGGTTTGCCATAGAAAAGTGCAAAACATGGGAAGTCTGTACACAGTACAGTACAAAAAGGAATCATGCTACAGTCATTGAAAGCTGAAAAATAATTCTATAGCATAGGAAGCACTGCATTACAACTCTTCTGAATGGCAAGCAGATGGGCTGAGGAACAGCCATATCTTCATTGCTTTCAAAACTGTAAAATCCCTGTTTATCCATTTAAACATAGTTTAGTACCTATATTTGATCCATAACAATGACTTTCTACAGTGGAAGATCACATTAGTTAAAGCTCAGTAGCACACATATTCATTGATCAAGCTCATTTACAGGAAAATCTACAGCATGTTCTTCATTGAAATCATGAAGCATTTATATCATTTGGTTACAAGGCAATTGAGTTTACAATTCATATTTATCACTTAAAACCTCAGATTGGGCAATTAAAAATATATATATATAAACTCAAAAATAAAGGTTGTTTTATTAACATTTAACATTCTTGTTCACTGATGTAGAATATCAAAGGCCTATGGGCTCTCTTGCAAGACAACAGTCCTTATGCAACAATCTATATGCAGAAGTACACATTAACAGAAAGAACTAAAATAAAATGAACTTCAGGTAACACCCTACTTGAATAGGAACTAAAATAAGTCTTCTAGTCTTCTTAAAAAAATCCATAAATCCAGAATTCCTAGTGCAGTGTTTACCTGCATGAGCACTCCGACAGAACTACATTAGTGGGCCATGAAGTCCCAGCAGAAGCACTTGTGCAAATAAATAAAACAGCCAGGTAATAACACCTCATTAAGTCCAGGACTGTAGAGAAAATAACTGATCACTTAAAATAATGCTTCAAAATGTTTTGGTTTTATTTTTTACTTCAGAATTTTAATTAAAAAAATTGAAAGCAGTTTTGTACTAGAAAGCATGCTGACGAGGTCAGTAGTTAGGTGTATGTACACATGGCTCGGAAACAATGTAAAGTCAAAGGATTATCATTATTAACAACATTGTATTAACTTCCTCAGTCTCCATCATGACGAGTGTCAGTGCATCCACTGCCAGCAATGGATAAGAGTCATAAAAAGAAATTTCACAATCTCCTGTTGTTCAAGCATTTAAAACTTCTAACTGCCACTGTGGCAAATTACTCAATTTCAACTTCATTTCCTCAGATCTGAAGAGGACGTTTGAAATTTGAAAAAAAAAAATCCTATATTTAGCACACTTTCTTGCAGTACGTAAATTTGCAAATAAGAAATTGATGTATGTAGTATTCAGAATCCATAAAATACCATACACTTGCATTAAGAAAACTCCCCAACTGTTTGCTCCCCCTTACACAAAATAAGCTGTGTTTTATGTGTTTCAGTTTTTCCAACTGATTTAGAATAACTAATTCAACAGATACAAATACAGTGGGCCAGGTTCATTTTTCCAAGAGAATAAGGTACTTACACTAGGTTAAAACTGTAATTTCCTATGGATTGTCTTGTATTTCATTACACATTCCTACACAATATTTACTGAGTGGCAGCTGGGGCCACCAACTTGCACAACATCAAGACAGCGTTGTGATATTCCAGAATTATCATTTTGAAATTTCCTGATTTTGTTACACATTGTGCATTTTTGACACGAGTTATACAATCTCGTTTAGTAAGATTTGCTTTATGAAGAAATAATCTAATATCCTAGAAGTTACAGGTTCTCAATAGCACTTCTGTACGGTTTAAACAAAAAAAAATTGAGATCACTTTTCCACAAGGAGACTCTAGTAACAGATCTGCCATAAAATCATAAATATGATAATTTTAGGAGCAATTACTAGAATGCCTCCTCTTTCAGATCAAAAAGGTAGAGAGTAGTTTTTGGGAAAAACTGTCTGTATGATCTAATTAAACAGTATTATGTAGAGCCATAAGGCATAGTAGTAGAACTCCAGAGAGCTGATGTGTTTTGAGGAAAAAAAAAAAAAAGGTCTAAATATGGTAATTTCACTAGAAGTTATCTAAACCGACATCTTAAAAAATGTCATCTTGTTTTTTGTAATTGAAGGACTTCAAAATCAACTCCCTTATATTAAGACAAGTATCGCAACATGTAACATGAAAAAAAAATTAAAAAAGAGATTCTGCCTAGTATTTAATCTACCTTCATCCTTCTGTGCATCCATATATAGAGATACATACATATGCACATACTGGTATCTAGTGCTACTTAAAATGAATCAATATTGCAAGTACTTCCAAAAAAGTGTGCTCAAGCTGCTAGAAAGATGTTAACACAGGATGAAAAAAGAGACTCTGTGCATCTAAGGTTTGAACTCTGTACATATGAAATTGCTGGCAGCAGGGACTAGGACATTTTCAAAAAAGGAGCAGCAGAAAGATAAGGCTGTACTACATATTCAGTCTTCCCTCTGATATTATGAAGTGTTCAGCATTCTACAATAACTATTTCACTAACAAAAAAGTTCTGTTATGGCTCATGCTTTACATTTGGAGAAGACAACAAGCTTGTGAGGGAAGAATTCCTGTCAGAGCCAGTTAAAGCCCTTTTAGCAGGATGGACTGACTTGCATGTTTACACTGAGTTTTCATGTGAGGAATTTCATTTCAGACAGTGTACAATCACTCAAAATTCTGGTTTTCAAAGAGACATAATTGTAACAGAACTTCATAAATTAGCCAGTAAGATACATCTTCAACAACAATAAACATGCCCTGGTCTTTCTGCTTTCAAGTACTATGGTTGTAAGTGTGAGGCATTGGAAATTTTAGGTACAAATCTCTTTTAAAACGTAATTATTTCTGTTTTTTACAAAGAATTATAAAATGCATATAAGATGATGAAAAACTCATTTATCCTTTTTTAAGACTTTTATTCCTAAAGAACTTCTTGAAAAACATTATTTGAAAAATAAAAATCATAGACTCTGCAAAGTACAAAAATTTACATCTTTGCACAATTCCTGTGCTTTAGTTGTACTGTATCCATTATATACATATATACTAATTTGTGCTTTTAATTACACAACTTTAGTATAAACTTATAAAATTAAGTCTATGAGTTAACTATGCAAAAAGGATCTGGGAATAGCAGGAAACTTAATTCAACCATAAGTTAAAAAAAATAATCCTAAAAATATCATTTTACTTAGTCTACTTCAGAGTAGACTATCATTATTACAATTTAATAAACTAAAGTCAAATGTTTACAGCAAAAAATTATTCCTGCCTGCCTCCATCTTTTATGACATTGACTAATACACATATCTGAATGCAGTATCATTCTTAGCCACAAAGAAAATCATCTTTTATATCTGAACTCCATTGTTCTTCAGACTTGCTCTTCACACTCCAGTTTCCTTCCAGACAAAAAAAGAGAACACAACTGAAGGTAGACTATTTGAACTCAGTAACAAGTATCAACCTATCACATTTATAAGAGAGAATATTCAGAGTACAGAATTAATCTGACAATCTTACCACTCTAGAACCTGCATTCTTAGTAGTAAAACCTTACAGTTAAGAACTATCACATTTCCTTATCTGTCAAATCAATCTTGGTATTTCTTTTTACACACTACTTTAAAAAATTCAAGGACAGAAGGATTTAAGTATTCGTATGCAAATAAACCTTCAAGAATGCAGAAAACCAAATCCTGTGAGATGATTTTTGTCACTTCAACCCATTATGAATCAGAAAATGTAATTTCTGCATGTGGTTCTCACTCACAGGTCTGCAGTGTTTTCAAGGGAACTCTTGACATTTGGACATACCTTGTCCAGTGTAGATGTAACACTCAGAAGTTCTTGAAAATTTCTAGATCTTTAGGAGGTACCGGAGGTGTCTTGTTCCAGTCATCTTCAGGATAAGCTTCAAAATTGGACGTATCCCCATCATTGGATACTTTGGGCACTATGGGAGGCTAGTAGAAGAAGCACAACAAAAATGTTATTCGTTTCCTCAACGAGCTCCTCTCCATCATACTATTCTGTAAAAGATCTATTAAACAAATGGAGTACAGATTTACAGTTCACCCTTTTCCCTAATAATGAATGGCACGAGAGAGAAGCTTGCAGCAACACATACACATTCCTACTTTTTGTCAATTTTACACTAATGTGGTTAAAAACCACTTAATTAATACACTTAATATAGATACCTATTTTATTAAGCACTAGCTTCTTTTCAACTAAGAATCTTCATAGCAGCATGGGAAACTGCTATCATATTGAGGGAAAAAAGCCTCCTCTTCACTACTTTCAAATAGACTGCTTTTGAAGAAGTTGAAATTACTAATTTCTGTCTATCAACTGTGCTTTTTCCTAACCTAGCAATAAATTCAAGCAGGTAAAGAAATTGCTTTGTTTGTTTTTACAGAGGATCCTTTCAGTTTCTAGTATAGCTCGTCAGCTTCACAGTACCTGTAGTTTTAACTTGTCTGAAGTCTAACATTGAGAATGCTCTGTGCTTCTGGCCACAGACTACAAGTTAAAGATCCCTTCAGGAACATTTCATTAATTGCAGGTATTAATGAAGGGACATTCATCTCTCTATCCTCTTCTCAGCAACTGAGAGCTTCACTATCATGCTTGAATCCAACAGAACGCTTTAGAATGAGAAAACCTTATGGATGATCAGTGAACTGGCTCAAAGTTATACCACAGACAAAACTATAAAGTATAGCAAGATGCTATTCTACATATCCCCAAAATGATAAAAAGTCTGGCTTTCACTAGCTCATGAGATCTGATCTGATCTTTTGGGCTTTTCAAAATCAGTAGGTTTGCAATGGGAAAGATGGGTCCCTGTATGATAGTACTTCTAACCTTCAGCCAAAACCAGAGTCCTAATTTTGTGTCTGGCAGTCACAGTAATACTGCCCAGATGCTGAGGAAAATGTGCAGAATCTGCTCTGCCCCTGAGAAATGTCTGCTCCACTGTGGGCAGCCCCTGGTACCCCTTCTCCCTGTAAGCAATTTGGCAGAAAAACCAGTTTTGTGAACTGACACACAGAAAGAAAAGAACAAGAGAAAGGATGACTAATGAATGATGATCACAATAGTGATTGCTATTGTTTATATGGTATTGATATTCAAGATCTTATTTGGACCATGAATCAAAGCATAATTTACACAATAGACAAAATAATGTTTTTACAGGGAAAATGGAACATTGTTCCATGCATTATTTAATTTTTCCATCTCTTCATCAGTATGAAATTGTGGGAAAAAATTCTGAAGAATATAGCTGCCTCTATAAATAACCAAGTAAAATTCTGATCTACATCACATCCCTACTCAAGTTTAATTAAGCACCATCTCATCTTCTAAGAGGTTAATGTAACCATCACAAAGATTAAGAAATAAGTTTTGTATTAATAATCTGAATGCCACAGTGACTCTTTTTTGATTAATTTTTTAAAATAAAAATGCCACATAAAGAATGTTTGGACCTGAGACATTTGATTGTACATCTAACAATCATTTTTAATACTATTTGTTTTTTATTGCTTTGATTGTCATAAACTTCAGAGTTCAAACATTATTAAACAGGTTATCATCCAGTTTGTGTTCTTTGCAAGGTTTCAGTGAACAGAATTTATAGTAAATACCTAAGTAATGATTAAAAATAAAACAAATCCACACATTTCAAACACTGTAAACTTATTTTTCTTAAAGAGAAAAGTCATCTACAGCTTTGTATTAGATATTGTTTACAAGAATACACGAAGAACATTTTAATATTGTCTTTTTTTTCCTTTTTTGCAAGAACTCAAGGTATCTACCTGGAATTTAAGTGCAAGAAACTTATGCAAAGAGAAAAACCCAAATGTTTAATTGGTACTTGATTGACTGCCCGTGGTAACTCAACCTCTGCTACAGAAAACCACTGCTGTAAGGAACTGTACAAGTTAGAACTCTGAGGAAGGAAAGAAAGAAGGCAGTTTTACTTCCAAAGGCCTTTAAAAAGCATTTCGTAGTGCTGATAGCTTTTGCAAACATCTGCCATCATACAATACTAGAATTCAGTGCTATAAAAAAGTATGTTGGAATTACATTCATAAATACCTCTCTTTCACCTTCCCTATTCCTCCTACTCCCATGTGCTTCCCATTTTATTAAAACATCTACCTGAACTGAACTTGGCACAAAAATTTAAAGCCCAGAGTAAAATACTTCCATGTATGTAAGGACAATGAAAAACAAAACAAAAAAAAAAAACCCAACCAAAAAAAAACACACACAAAAAAAAATCAAACCAACAAATTAGCAATCCCAAATAAAAAGCCACTTACAACAAGTAATCACTTACAAAACCCTAAACCTGCAAACTAAATTTTGTATTAACTAATCATCTTCAGCAAAATAAAGCAGGATTATTTTTTTAGACAGTTCGCATACAGACAAAAATGCAAACAGACAGTCATATAATTAACTCTACATTGCAAAAAGGCAAATATGCATTTAATTACTAAGTGTGCATATAGACATGTGGTTATACACACACAAACACACAGATGCAACAGCCAACAAACCTTCAACAGATCAGCTTAAATGAACAATGATTTCTCCTTGTGATGTCCTATACAGTATTTGCAGAATGTACCTTTAGTCTCCTTTGAGGTACAGCATCCCAGTCTATAGACCTGAACCATCGATGTCTCTTCACATCATCTGCTCCATTCTTTAAGGAAAGAAATCAAAATAACTATTTTTTAAGCTACATGTATGTCAAATCATGTATTTCATTACAAGAACTGTGATATCAGGTCCATCCTTTTTTCTTTTTTTCAGGTGATAATCATTAAAAGGTTCTAAAGGATAAATGCACAGTGTTAATTCACTAGTAGGTCCCGAGTTCCAGCAATAAAACCCAAAAAATTTTGGTTTGGAGTTTCTTTGGGCTTTTTAGCATTCTTCTGACACAATGGAGATCAAGGACAGGCTTTAAAGTACCCACAAAACCATTCATTACAGTCCTATTTACTTTTGTTTTCACCAACATTTTAGAGAATGCCTTTTATTCAGATATACTTTCTAATTCTTGCACTATTAAAAATAACTGAGGGTTGATGGTGTTTTAAATAAAAATAATGTCTGAGAAGCACATAGTTATTTTTAAATACTACAGACATTTAATGCTGACAGGAAGATGTTCTCAGTACTGTTACGAAAGTAAATACATTAAAACATTAGTTTTCACTTTAGATATACAGCTAAAGGTGTATTTGCCTTGTAATGATTATTCTCTCTGGGGTGCCTTTTTTATTTATGTACATAAGAAACAAAAATGTGTCTTTTTTTCATGATTAATCTTGTTTCAAGCACAGACTTGCTCTCTAGGCATTAAGCACTGGGGAAAACCAGCTGGTTCTCTGTCTCAGGCCTGATCAAAGCACAGCACTCAAGACTATAACACATACAGCTCCCCAAAACCAAGCACTATGACACATTTGGGCTTTTTCAGATTTATGTGGAGTGGCACTATCCATGCTCATATCCAATGAGGCTTCAAGAACAGGAGAACAGTATCACGCAGTTCCCTCAAAAGCAGATCTGACTGAATGCTTCACCAGAAAACGCCTTGTGGGATTTACATCTTTTTAAAACAATTATGACAATGGAAAAGGATCAGACACAAGTCTGACCTAGTGCTCCCACCCCAATATCTGCTCCTAATTAGAATTGCTTCTGATTAAAGAATTTTAGTCAATTGTAGGGAAAACCCCAAAACAAACCTAAGCAACCAAGGTCTAAAAACATCCCCCAAAGCAACACAAAACCCAGCCAAACACATTTACCAAAGCCCATGTTTGAACAAGTCAAGATTTGCTTTTGTTCTTGTTTTCCTTCAAAACTGTCCAAAGATATAAAAGTTTTCACTGGTAAATTATTTTAAAAATTTTCAGCTTAAGAAATCCTCCTGAAAAAGACTACAAAGGTTTCTGAAGGATAAAAAAACCATTATTTCCTGTTTTTTTCTTACCAGTTGAACTTTGTGCCATAAAAAGGCTCCAAATGGAAACACTGGACAGCTGGTTAAAGCATTTATATTTATATTAATATGTTAAGAAAACCCTGGATGATTGTGCACCTTTTACCATCTTCACCTATTTTCACCATTCAATGTGCTTTTGGGCCAAAAAGCAAACCTCTAACATCCCTTGCCCAGAGAAATAAAATTTTAGATGTCTCTAAAGAGAAAGATTATACAAGCTAACTTCAGTATATATTGTCTTCATAAATCTGTTTGGATTAGGGTAAATAATTCTTCCTGGTGGAAGAGTATTTGACTGTGTTTAATCAGACCCACCAAGACAATGACCAGATATCACAGTACTACAACAATCCTTTTAATTTTAAAATAATTTTTAAACTTCAAGTTTGATTAGCGGTCCTTCTGGGATTAACACTGCCACAAAAAGAGAACCAATTGAGCTGGCACCCTGCTCTACAGGACTTAATACCATGTTTCTGGTCTCATCTAGGTTTTCACATTAATGAAAATGAAATGAAAAAATGAAAATGAAAAAAGGGTGGTGGTAGGGGTGGTGGTGAGGAGAGGAAAACCATGATGAAGAGTAGCATCAATCCAAATAGGGGAATGATTTTCAGAAATACAGAAATAAACAGGTTAAACTTTGCACTTAGGATTGCATAACCTAAGTAATGTACAGGGAAATGTATGTGTTTCATGCTTATAACTCCAAAAACTCTATGGAGAGCTGGTCTGTATCTTTGCTACAGAATTCTTTTAACCTTGTGCTGTGTTACACTAAAGATCTTACACTGACCTTCATATTTCCCAGTCGTCTTGTTCTGTCAACCACAAGCAGCTTCTTAATAAGGTCTCTGAAGTAGAGAAAACATGTTCTCTGTTAAACAGAAGTAATTTATATTTGACTATTGAGTGCAACAGAATATAGACATGCTTCCCCTTGACAATTAATTTCCTCATACTTTAAGACATTTTTAAGAGTAAACAGTAAAAAAGAACCTAACAGAATTCTTGATCTAATGGAATTCTTGCAGATTTCTTTTAGACTCTTCCAAGAAACAAAGGAAAAAAAACCTCCCTCTCCCCTCCCCTGCCCCTTGCCATTTTGTTCTTTGTATTTTTGCATTTTGCTCGGCATTCTATATCTCAAATGGATCTCTAAGCTCTTTATCAGAACTCAACACTAATACATATTAAAAAAAGCAGATGAAGCTGCACCCTCATCTTTATGCTAAATATCCAGGGAAACCATGGAAGAGCTAGTCATCTGCTTAAAACTAGTAACATCTATAATTGAATTGAAAACAAAAAGCCTCACTGAGATACTGGCTCATTGAACAGTTCTGCATAAAACTAAATCAACATTTTAAGAGATTAAAAGAAATTTAGAGACAAAAAACTCTTCCGTATTAATAGCAAAGTACTTCAAATATTAAGCCCTAAACAACTATGAACCGAAAGTATAAACTATGAACAACTAAAAACCAAAAGTATCATAATTTATGGAATTAGCCTGATTACCTATGAGTTGAAAGAAAAATATAGCTTCATATTTCTATAAGCAGTTACATTTTATCTCAAATATTATTGTGCTATTTGATTTTAGAAAACTGGCATTCTGGACTAATTGCATTAAGCACCAATGACAAGAAAGAACAAAAGTTTAACCATCCTTATTTCTATAATATCAAGTATTCCTGAGAGATGACGTACAGCATGAAATTATGGAGATTAAAGAGTATGGCTAGTTCAAATTTTTAACAATATCAAAGGTTAAAAAAAGTCAACTTTTATTTACAGAAAAGAACACAAACATAACAATGACACACCTGCCTCTGTCCAACCCTACCTGTAAGTCTACTATGCCTCCCAAAAATAGCATTGTGTCACCTGTCCTTGAAATCACAAGTGTGTGTGCAGAAAGAACATATGAACTGATTATGCTAGACTGTTTAAAAAACTGTTGCATTTGGCAGAAATACCATCCTAAAAGTCGGCTGGAAGAAATTTAAATTACCAGATAGACAAATAAAAAAGTCCACGTAGAAAGCAGTTTTTAAAACTCTGGTGATTACTCCAGACAATCAATATTTCAATTAGATTAAATCATGTGACCAACTCCTTTCAGTCACCTTTGCAGAAATATCCCTTTCTACTCCACAAAGAAGACCATTCATTATGGAAAAGGCCACAAGGAAGACTATAAACACACTTAAAACAGAAGTAGGACTGAAAAGAAATCCACAAACTCAGAAAGAGATTCACAGAGTTTATGACCAAAGATACTTTTCAGTTCCTATAAAACCAGAAAACATTTCATGGATCATTCTTGGCTTGCTTCAAAAATTCATCATAAAACAGTTAAGGGATGAGCTTACTTGCTGATACATGTGTTGTTACTAAATATGACATTTGCTGCATTGGACCGGGGAAATATCCATTGAACTGAAACAAATAGATACCTCAGCAGTTCTTTATTACATTGGTTCTAAAAAATAATTTTTAAATTATGTTAGAATTATTTCAATAGATATGCCGGTGTATTTTTTTGAGAATCAAATTCTACATGAAGGACTCTGCAGACCAATAATTAGTAAAATGCTGTAGCAGTAACATTTTGTTTGGAGGTTTCCAAAACTGGGTTTTCCAAAGAAAACTTTAAAAAAGCAGTAAGAAAGAGTGACATTCACACATCAGGAGGGAAAGCAGAAGTGGTATAAATTCAAAAAGTAAAGCATACAGGAGGGTGATAGGGAATAGGTGAGTAAAAAATGTAAACACCCATAAGCTCAGGTAGTACATACCCCTAGGCAGAGAAGTGGTCTCAGAGTTCAGAAAGAGAAAAGTTTTGCTGCCTCAGAACAGAAAGTTAAAACATTGTATAGCACTAATACTTCAGACACAGTTTGGGTCTGACAGGACCCAAGACAGCTTCCTTTCTGGGTGAAATACTGACTTATTGGAACAAGAGAGAGAAAACAGATGGGTTAGAAGGTAAGAAGCAGACTGCCTTCATTGGACAAAATAACCTTGGCACTTGCTTTAAGCAGAGACGTTCAAGGACTATCCAGTTCTGCATATTGTGGTTTAAAAGCAAGAAGAGGGGCTGAGATCCAAGACACTGTGTTCACAACTCAGTGCAGAAAGCAAGAGAAGCCACAGAAGTAGCATGACAGAACAGTGATTGGCCCCCTCTACTTGTCAGTGGTGAGACCACACCTCGTGTTCCTGTGTCCAGTTCTGGGCCACTCACTTCAAGAAAGACATTGAGATGCTGGAGTGTGTCCAGAGAAGGGCAATGGAGCTGATGAAGGATCTGGAGGGTAAGTCCTACAAGGACTGGCTGAGAGAGCTGGGATTGTTTAGCCTGGATAAAAGGAGGCTCAGGGGTGACATCATTAGTCTCTGTAACTGCTTTCACTGTATTGGATGGGTTGTTAGTGATGATAACCTAATTTGAGGTGTTCCACCTTCTGATCATAATATTATAATTCAGTGCACAGAACACAAGAGATAATCAGTTCTCTTTCCAAGACCAATTGGATTAGGAAGACCAGACAATGAGACTACACTAAACTGGTAACTGTGTGGAGCTACTAAGAGTAAACTGTTATAAAGACACAAAAATATGAGACACTAGTCAGCCTAAGGGGAGACAGACATGCTTCATTCAGTGCATCCAATGATTCAGTGGAGGTTAAAAAAAAAAACCAAAAAAACTCTCAAATGATTAGTTTTGCTTGTATCTGTTTAGCCAGGAGTAACAGTAAGCAAGTGCCTACCAAAACATCAGGAGTGATTAACCTAGGAGTAACTTCCTGTAATCACTCCCTCACTCAATTCTCACTTAGGAGAAACTTCATGTTTATAATTGCATTTCCTCAGTTTCAATGTTTACTAAAAATTATTTCAGTTATGGAATTTTCAAATAGGAAAAAAACCCCCCTTATTTCATCTGCAATAAACTCTTAACAATTGCTAAATACTGAGAATTAAATCCACATTATAGGTGTATGTAATACTCCATATTGAACTGGGCCCCTGCTATCATAAATTTAGGTTGACTTTACACTAGAACTTCTGAATACCAGAGTTTGCTCAAGTAATTATGCTGACAGTGATTCAAGTGATATGTATCTTTAGATAGAAACAGTTTAATGTTCTCTTCCTGCTCTCCTAATTTTTGCTCAGATTATTTCCTCATATTTCTCCTCTTGACCTGCTTACAGGACATGCCAATGGGGTTTCCACAAGGTGGAAAAGCATTTAATAACCATAATACACAGAAAAGACAATCAGATATTATACTACAACTGTATCACCACCTTGAAGTCTACCAAATATACAAGTTTATTTGGACTGAAAGTGTAAATGTAATATAAAATATTTTCCAACATGATGTTTCAGAAAATCAGAATCTGAAATCAGGTCTTCTAAAAAGATTTTAAAGAAACAGTGCTCAAGAGGTATTTAGAATAGAAAAGACAGTGTTGGAGTCATAGACTTACTTTACATATAAATCCAAATGCCTTGGGAAATCTATTTTGCCAGCAAGAATCTTCTGATATATACCAAATGGATTGTCATCAAAAAATGGAGGAAACCTATTTTAATGCAGAAAATTTTCAGATGTTAGAAAAAAAATCTAAAATTTTATAAGCAGTATTACATTATAGCAATTTCCCTCAAATAACTGATTATGTTGTTCTTTTTGGCAGGACACTACCAATCAAGCACTATCTTGAAGAATAATTTAAGGCTACCATTGTAAAACAGAAAACATTTCTGTACACAACACACTGAATGCAGAATTAAAATTTAAATATAACAACAGAATAAAAAAAATATAAAATTGTTACATAATTGCAGTAAAAACATAATTTATGAAAAAAAAAATTCTGTGTTAACAGTTAAAAATGCTTTATTTTTATGTCTAAAACCCAGGGATATACTCTCCAAAAGAGCATTACCATTTTTGATCTTGTCCTGTAACTGCTGGCACACCCTTTACCAGTTTTTTTTTTAATGTTAAAGGACCTTCACATGAATACATTATCCAGTTCAGTTATTTGTTGTGCATCTTGAATTCAACTATGTTCTGCTAGATAAGTTTTTTGAAACAGTCAGACTGCTCACAACTCTCCAAGTGCAGCAGCCTGTGTGGGACAGATAAAGTTTTCATTGCATAATCTTCTCTATGATGAATAGTAAACTAACATGCAATTAAAATTCTACATTTATGTTTTCTATGAAGTTTTTCATGAAGTTATGAGCTAACAGAGAGACTACTTCTTGTTGTATAGCTACAGTAAGAATTGGAAGTTTTCTGCTGTGCTTCCTTTACTAGCACAGTACATCTCTGACTGCTGCAAGAGGTGCATCAGCACAGCCAGTACAGGCAGCTGAGCCCAAGCACTGGCAGCTTTCTGAGCATCATGCTCTTAAAAGTCACCACAGGAAACCCTCTAAGGGAATGGAGCAACTCATTCAGTAATCTCAGTCCTGCTTTGTCCTCCATAACATGACCAAAACAACCCTCTTATTATGCTTCTGCCTCAAAATCCCCACAGAATTAAAAAAACCTACAGAGTTTGAGTGCTGACCATATTAGAAACATCCAACCACTATTACAGGTTAATTAAAATATTTTCACATCTCCCTAACATAATTACTTTTTCAGCTTAACTGTGTACATACACAAATATGGTGCTTGTGGCTTTGGAAATCACTGATAACACAAAAACAAGGATGAAAACAATGTTTCTTCACTTCAGGCTCTTTTTTTATTTTATGGTAGTCAAAATAGCTTATTCTTTAACAAGTAATATACATTATTTCCATTATGTTTTCAGAAGTATTAATTTCCTCATTATTCAGCTGATGATCAAGTGGATTAGCATTCCCTTTGAAATACTGTAAATATCAGCCATGCTAATAATCAAATTCCATTAGAATAATTAAGTAAAGGTGTCTTAGGCTTATGGTAAAAAAAAAACAAAAACGCTAATTCAAAGCACTGAAAAGCATGACTAAACTATCTGGTTAGGGAAAGACTAAAGGACATTTTTTGTTGGTGTTCAGAAAGTCAGAGTACTTTCTTTGTGAAAAATTACTTCCCAACTAACTGAAAAGTGGAAGAACCTCAGGAATAATTCTTGTGCTATTAAAAATTCCTGCCCTGACACTAAAGAACAAGGAAAACATGATTGCTATTTAACATGCACAAGTTTTTTTCCATGCAAGGAAGACTATCATACAAAGTTTATTTTTTTAGTCGAGCAACATAAATACCATTCACATTCTACACAGCAAGTTGACAAACCAAATTTTCTATTTATTACCTATTATAATCTCTAAATGCATAAAGCAATTAGAATGATATTTTTAAACTATGTATTACAAAGCTACCAGCTGCAGGAAGCCAATTACTATACAGTACTGAGGTGTGAAATCAAGAAGACTAGAAGAACATATAATTTTCTTCATATTTACATTGCATTGTTTTAATTTGTTTTCCCACTTTGAAAATCCAAAATTACTATGTCTACAGTTCTTGTAAAAATTTAAATCACAGTTGGCTATATAGTAATTTTATAGCAATTAAAGTACATTTGAACTCTATGCAAAATGACAACAGCTTTGAAAGATTGTAGTTTTCTCATGAACAAACCAAGTAACTTGATTTTGACGCTTTTTGTAAATGTCAATCTTCAACACAGCACAGATTTTAGATAAAACAACATAAGTATTGTGCTGTAAGCTACCTAATAAATCAACAAAAATCCCCTTGAGTTTCAGACTTTTTTCACACCACAACACAAATACAAACAGCTGCCTTTTCACCAACTGAAAAGAAGCTACAAAAAATATCATCTCTGTAAACAGGAGAACAGCTGCAAACCATTCCTTTTGCTAACTGAAGCATAACAATGGCAGGGACTTTTATTTTTTCCCCCAAAAGATTTTTTTTTCCCAAAACAATCTAAAGAACAGAAGTTGTAAAACCTCAAGGGTAAACACCCAGGTCTGAGAATATGAAATTGCAGACAGGAACCATTAACCCACCTAAAATGCCAGACCAGCACATCACATATGACAACCGAAGCAAAAAAAAACCCCACAAATCCCATATCAATACCTAAAATTCATGTTAGCTGCATATCTGATAACAGTACAATTACAACCGAACTTATCTAACGTTAAGTAACAAGTATATTTTTCTTTGAGTTACATTATAACAGAACTCATTTACTCAAAATAAATAGATGCTTTTGTATTGACAGTTTGTTTAGCTTGTTTAGATTAACTCAATGAACTTGGTGTTATTCATCCGTTTTCTTCTTACCCTTGCTTCTCCCTGGTTCCTTGCCCTTTCTGTATCTTGGTATGTCAAGCCTAAACAGGACCTTGCCTTAAACCTAGCTTGTGCAGAATTAGAATTCAATAGGCCTCCAGAGATTGAGTTAGGGTAATAAGACACCGTGGAACAGGAAGGTGTGGGTTTGTTTGTTTGTTTTTAGAGAGGCCATTTCTTTACACACACACCTACCAATTCTTTTCAATTGCTTTTGGGCTTCAGAGAGACTAACATCAGGAAGTAACTATCAAATGTCTTACATTAATATACTTGCAGACAATAACTTAGTCTTGAAGTCAGGTTTTATTCACCTTCAAAATATTTTCAGATTTCTTAAACCTTCTTTGAATTTCAATTGATAAAGTAAACTAGGACTGCTTCTCTAATAGAAGTCTTGATAGTAAATATCTAGCTAGACCTTGAGTTGGTGAGGAAAAGTGCTTCAAAAACTATCGCCAAGAACAGCAAAAAGCTTATAAAATGCTAAAAGCATACTTTCATTGTGACAACCTTACCATCTAAAGGAAACACATACAAGCCATAATCCCTGCCCTTCTTTAATCCCCTTAAAACAAAATCCTAAGAAAGTAGTATCCCCCCCATCTTAAAAAAGCCCAAATCAAACAAAAAAACCCCCAGAAAACAAGCCTCAAAATGCAAACACCCCAAAAACCAAGCTTGTATGGAGTCCCTATTCCAGCTTTGGAAAATTACTGAATGCTGCTGTGTTTAATTTTTTAGTGATGGATGCAGTCCCTATCCAAAGTAGCATTCAATCATTATGAAGAGCATGTCTATACAAGTACTGTAGTAAAAAAACCTTAGAAAATCACACACAGCAGACAGCTGCTCTGTCAATCAGCCTATATAAAACCTCTCTTGATTTTCAGGACAGCCTAAGCTATCTCTATTGGTTAAAAGTCTCTAAAAGCCAAAGTGTTCATATTAAGCCACCACCTTCCCATCCCCCCACTCTGAAATCCAGATCTCATCCCTTGAGCCAGACAGCGTCATGATGCAGAAGACCTTACACAGAAACAGCAACTGCTCCCTTTGTTTATGAACAACATATACCAGTCATATTTCAGTAGAATATACAGAAGTCATACTTCAGCCTTGAGGTCTCAATGAGTCCAAATATCTTGCTTGATTGCCACCTGTAGTCAGTATGTTAACCTTGTAAACAATGTTTCTATTAGTGGTCTAGTGGAGAGAATCCTACCAACATCTCTGTAAGGCATGCAAATAAAAAAGGTCCAGTATCCACTTACACTGGGATCACACAGACCTAACAGAGAGTGGTCCCACTAAAACCCATGGTAGAAAGGTAAATCACAGCACCTGCGCTGATATTACAGCCCAGATGCTTTTATCTACAGTCTTCCTGCTGTCTAGGACTAAGATTAGTGGCAACAAGCTTGCTGGGAATACCTTTTTTCTCTCTGAGAAGGACTCTTTTGACCAACTTGAGCTGCTCATCTTACAGGAAGCAATGGAAAAAAGGGTGAAGCCCGGTCTCTGTACAAATCAGCCTACATAAATAACAACTTCATATTAGACCGTATCAGCCAAGCCTGTTTGGGTCAGCCAGCAACTATTTTTATTGCTTTTCTATCTACAAACTGCCATGAGATTCAAAGTCAATGTATAAGCAAGCCCTCAGGACATTATGAAAGCAAGCAGTGGGTAGCTGTGTTACTATTGAGTGAACTTCACAGCAGTACAGCAATGGATTAGAGCTCTGAAGTGACCACCCATCCATCAGGGGAGCTGCTTGCTCAGGCAAACTTACACGCTTGTCCAAACACAGGAAGAGTGTCACTTTGAAATGACAGAAATGCACAGAGAAAAGGATGACTAAATCCAAGCTAGGACACTTTGTTCTGATGATTCTACAAGGCTGCAGATTTATTAGGAAAGGCCACAGAGGACATCTGGATGCACCTGGAGACCAAGAAGGTGCAGAGCACACTGAGCCAGGTTCCAGGCATAAGGTATGAAACTATGCAGAAGGCAGAACTATGAAATCAAACTGATGAAATATACTATGTCTCTTCAGAAGCTATGAAAACCTAGCTTTCATCTGCATTTGTCCTATAGCACCCACTACAGGAAAGCCAATTGCTTTGAAAAATCCAAACCTTTTTTCAAGTACCCTCAAACACAGCCAAGACAAAAAAAAAGTAAAAGGAAAACCATGCAGATGCCTTGTGTAGCACACAAGCACAGTTTCACATTCTACCTAAAATCAGTTATTGATTTTACTGAAAAAATACTTATTTTTTGAAATCAGAGCAAATTGAGACAATTACTTTTATTTAACTAATACTAATAAGTAATGAACAGTTAATTATATTAATGCCAGAAACCATTTCTTCAGTTTGAATGGGTATCTTCTGAAAATACTGCTTTATCAAAAAACTTCCAAAACAGCAAAAGCAGCATTTCAGGAAACTGATTTCAAAGAGATCTATAAAGCTTTTCACTGTTCTTCCTCTGGTTTAAAGAAAACCAGTCCTCAGTTGTAATACAAATTGTATTAATAAAAGTCTTCCTACTTGCCACTACACATTTTTACAGACTAAAGCTCACACCGTATTTAGGATTTCATATGCTGGAAATTACAGAAGTAGTCCTGTTCTTTACCTTCCAAATATAAAGGACATTGTGAATAAAAATCTAAATTTCAGCAAAACTCAAATTTCCAAAACACATAGTGAAAAGAGAAGCTGTTAAAAAAAACCTTAAGAAAAAAAAACAAAAACCAAACCCAAACAAAAAAACCAAACCGAAAAGAAGAAACAAAACCAACAAACTCAAAACCTAAAACATTCTCATAACAACTGTAATATATGTTGTTTTGTAAAGCTTCCCAAATCCTTTCTTCAAAGGCAGAAATTAAACAAGTAAATCAGTAATAAATTTAGCAATCCAAATATTGTAAACACAACTAGCAAATAATTCTGTATTACATAATATTGCTGTGATGTAGTAATTATCACTTACCCTGACAACATCTCAAATATAAGAATTCCCAGGGCCCACCAATCCACAGCTCTTCCATGGCCTTTACTTTGTATAACTTCTGGTGCAAGGTACTCAGGAGTGCCACAGAGAGTCCACGTTCTGGTTGTAAAAGAAGGGAAAAAAACCCAAAAAAACAAACAACAAATGCAGATCAAAGTGGAACTGAAATAACAATAGGAAAAATCAAACATACACATAAGAACTAACCAACATATACCTATGTATTTACTGTACGAAGAAACAGAAATAAGAAAGCCCTCTACAACATCTAAACAGACTACTTTGATGATGTTCTCCAATTCTCCTGGAACAGAGATACATGCAAAATAAGAAACTACCTATCTCAAAAAATACCTGTGCACAGTTTCCCAGCTGGAGCTGTGCTACTCTACCCATTAGACTATACATTGTTTTGAATTATTAACAGTGATTTTCACTCTCTAAGCCGCAGACCCTGGGAGTTCATAGACTACTTCTGACAGGCCCAGCAGAAGACAAGCGAAATGGCCTTTTCCAGGAAAACAAAGTTTCATTTAGGAAAAAAAGGGAAGGAGGGAATTTATAAAGCAGTAGTAGTTTAAATCAGTAAATAATATCACATACATGAACACTGGTTTTGCAATTTAAGTAAAGTTTTTCAAATAGTATTGAAATCTAACTTGCCATCACATCCACAATATTCATTAAAAGGGAAACATTTTGCATTCTTAGTTATTTAAAATATTTACAAGGTGTAGTTAAGCAAGTGTGAGATAAGTAGGCAATACTTTTTGTGATATATTTTAAAGTCATTTTTAGTCATAGCTTTCTATGGTAATGTCAGAATAAAACTGTAACATTGCTAAATAAATGAAGCTCAAGTTCTATAAAGACATGAAACAAACTCAAGCTAAGCAGTTATGTTTACAAAGACCAAATTACATTTGAAAAGAAAAATATTCTGAAATAATTTCTTCCAGAAATGTAAACTTTTCTTTGTAAAAATGCCCATGTAGAATTTGCCTGGCTTCACTCTCTTGACTTAGGTTTAAATGTACATTTGAGAAAATAAGGTGCTCTCATTTTGAATAAATTAGCCTTTCCCAGCAGCAAGTCAGAAGATGAAACTTTGAAAATGTGCTCACCAATTCAGGAGAAATTGAAACCCCAGCACAGAATAAGAAAGAAAACTGTATCACATTTCAAAAGGAGCACTATTAAAATACGACAAAGAATATAATCACTGTACATGATTTCTAACTTGCACCAAAAAAACCTGAGTGTTTGTGAGAGGAAGAACTTTCTCCAATCAAAACGGTAACACACTCCTGAACAAATGCATTAAGATGAACAGCAATCACCTTTAGAACTAATACTAATTCAACTTCTTTTTTTTTTTAGAGAATGCAAGGAAGATGATTGTTTCACCCATGTCTGCGCTGACATGGCCTCACCTTGAGCCCTGCATGCAGTTTTGGGCACTGCAATGTAAAAAAGACATTAAGCTACAAGGAAGATGGTGAAAGGTCTGGAGAAGAAGCCTCATGAGGAGGGGCTGAGGGCACTTGGTCTATTCAGACTGGAGGAGACTGAGGGGAGACCTCTCTGTGATCTTCAACATCCTCACAAAGGGAAGCAGAGGGAGAGGCACTGATCTCTTCACTCTTGTGATCAGTGAGAGGATGCAAAGAAACATCATGAAGCTGAGTCAGGGGAGGTTTAGGTTGGATACCAGGAAAAGGTTCTTCATCCAGAGGGTGGCTGAGCTCTAGAACAGGCTCCCCAGGAAGTGATCACAGCACTAAACCTGAGAAAGTTCAAAAAGTGCTTGGAAAATGCTCTCAGGCACATGGTGTGACTCCTGGGGATGTCCTGGGCCCGGCCAGGAGTTGGATTTGAGGATTCTAATGGGTCCCTTCCAACTCAGCACATTCTATGACTCCTTGCAATACTGAGTAAGAGCTTTTGGGAATTTTTTTCCGATTGGTTGGCTTTTTATAAGTTTTAGTCTTGACTCATAAAAATAAGATAAATGAAGGGAAGCTGTACAGTCAGTTAAGGCTTTAGATGAAGAATTATAACTTGAATTTCTTTAAGCTTCAGTTTACTATGGCAAAAGCCAAATTACTCCAGCTAAACTGTCAGATGTGTTAGGCACACTTTGCATCCAATGTGCTTCAAGGTTCTTGAAACTACATTTCTAAGTGTAAAGAATACATTTTTAATTTTTATAATTTAATTTATCTAAAAAATATAAACTCTTGTTTTCCAAATCAAGCATACTGAATTCTCACATACAGTGCTGCTTTACACTACTGCCATCTAGCAGTTACCTAGATCAGGACTATGGAATTAAGAACAACAGCAAAGCTCTCTCATCTTTTAAAATTACGTACTTCTCCCTTTCTCAAATTTAAAAAGCTGTATCCATTATGTGACTTAATCATACTGATTTTGGGCAGCTATGCAAATGAAACAGCTGACAGTTTTACCGTGTTTTTACTCAAGTAAGAGGAGAATTGTGAATATAACTTGCCAATGTAACTTGAAGTTTCCAAGCTGCATTAGAAAATAAAATTTATTACCACCACATTAACTACTTCCTTAATTTCAATCAAGAAATGTATGTTTATGAGCTACACAAACTTGGAAGAAGCTCATGCTCTTTTTTAAGATGTGCATTTGTGCTGTAAGATCATGACTTATGTTTCCTCTTTTGTTGGTCATGAAATAGACTGTGTAGTATTTTGGAAAACACATCAAGTAAGATTATACAAAAGGTAGCATTTTAAATTTTTTTTATCATTACAATATTGTGGCTACTGCATATTTATCTGAAATTCCAGACAACTTTTTTTGAAGATAAATTACAATGAAAAAAGGTAGAGAATAGACTGTTCCCTTCGAACTGCTACAAAATATTCACTCTTCTGAGATTTCAAGATAAAAGCTGAAATACAAGAAAGTGCTAATTGATAAGCTTGAATATGTAAATTCAAAACACGAAATATAGAATCTACTCTGGTTAAAAAGGTAAGCTACAAAATAGTTTTGTGAAACTTTTGAAGAGGACTGTGTGAAGAAGTTCAGTCTCGATGGTTATTGTGTTTCAGCATCCATCTCTGTGTACCTGACAAACATTTTGCATATGGGACAGATTAACAACTTTTGTTTTGGTATTCTGGCAGTTTCTCCATAATTATATTTAAAAAAGATTCCTTTGTATCCAGCCGACAAAAATTTGTTCTGCAAGACATTCTTGCTTGCTTCTACAGTGACAAGGGGTACACTTTGCAAACCAGACTTACTGTGTCTTACATAGTCTTTCTCTCTCCAGTCCACTGTGTGGAACAGCCATGAGGCACATCCAGCCTATGCAACAATGCAGAACTACCCCCAATAGGTTTAAGATTAATCACTTCTCAAGTTTCTAGAAAGACTCCCAGGTAAATTTATTTTTTAGGAACGTTACCTGAATAAACTAAAATTAACAGTGAATAACATTCTGGGGGGAAAAAAAAAAGATCACTCAAGTCTTAATTTTAACTAAAATGTTTATAACTTTGAGTGAAATCTCTCCATTAAAAAAAACCATAAAATTCCATGCAGGTTAGTTTTGTACTTCTCTGAAGGAACATGGGAATTAAACGCCAACACCCCAAAAAATCCCAAAAAACCCCAAATACCCAAACAAAAAAAAAAACCCAACCAAAACCCACATAAAAAAGGAAATCAGAACAGAAAAAAAATTTCAATAAAAATACTAGACTGAAAAAGTAGCATATGCGTTTCAAAAAGAGAAAGCTCTACAAATGTAACAGTTGTGAAGTTCAAAGGAAATCCTTTTTATAGCCTTCAGGTAACAGTAATTTATAAAAACCCCTCCCCAAATTTCTTCCTGACATTGTCCTTTTTTAGAAGTAGTGGCCCATCTATTTTATATGAATGTACTTACAAGAAACTGAAAAGGTTATTAAGTCTTCAGTTAAGCAACATCAAGGTGGAAAAGAGAAGAAATAAACAGCAGGTGAGGCAAAGACACACTGTTTTGGAGAAAAATTTAGAATTTTTAAACATACACTATGAGTGAAAAGGGAGGAAAAAGGATAAACAGAAGGACATACCAACAAGGAATAGAAGGAGCAAAGAAAACCTCCTCTCTTTCCTCTGTTTCAAAAAGAAAACATTAAGAGTCAAGCCCTCCAGAAATTGTACTAATAAGAAGGTACAGGTACAGGCTGCTTTCCACCGTGGGAACATGAGCTACGAGCCAGACACTCTTTCTGAAGAGCAGCTTAACTGTAGAGGGACATGGTGGATATTTCATCCCTTCACAAATGGCAGTGGGAAGAAAGGAAAATGTCTACAGAAAAACCTCTATTAGGCAGCTACAGAATAATTTATGTGAAGTGTTATGTATATGGAACATGGGATCATATCCAAAGTCTTCTCCAGACCATGTTTTCATTTATGTATTATGTCTTCTTTCTAGGAATGTCTCTGCTGATCCTGAGAGCAGGTTACCTCACAATGTTTGAAGAACATAAATCCTTCATGACTTCTTTTTGCAATTCGTGTATGCTGTGTATATTTTCACATCTATACACTCACTGACACCCATACACATAAGATTCATATGTACAGACATTTGCTATGCATAAAAATGACGATATCTCCTATATTTTTGATCAAATAGGCTATGCCATAAACAAAAGCACCTGTTGGAGTGCACTAGTGAATAAAGGGCTGATAACTGTGTATTTTTACAGTGACAAAACCAACATTGTGAAGGTGACTTCAGCTAGTGGGGAGAATACTATGTAGTTTCAAAAAAAAAACCCCAACAAACTAGTAACACAAAGAACTAAACCAGATTTGCATAGGTGCAACCTGTGCAATCTTTGCCACCTGTGCTCTAATTAATAATGTTTTTGCTAATTTCAATGTTATGTTCTGCATTTGCGTTACCTGTTGTACATTTGAAGGAAAATCAGCTATGAATGTAAAAGTACTATAACCTTCTATGATGCAACACAAACTGATCAACTCCACTGCCCCCCAAGCAATATGGAAAACACAAACCTAATTAAAACCAGTAATGATAAGAAAGTTTGATATCCTAAAATATATTTGAACTAATTTGCTCTTAGAGATTCATCTACCAGGTTGAAAAATATACACTGATATGAACTATCACCTTATTTAATGAAAGGTTACTTCTCTTGTTCCTTAAACCCACAGAAACACAAAACGAGACTTTCCACTAAGTGGCAGTATTTACATATAAAGAGCAAGTCATAAGTACTTGTAAGAAAATGTCTTATAAAGAGATTGTACTACTTTCTTACATGGAAGCATGTTAGCTCTTCCTGCAAAAAGTCTTTTTGCTTTAAAAACAAAGTATTAAAATGAAAAGCCAGCATTTGTAGGCCTTTTGGTTGCTCAGTGGAAATGGAATTCATATACTCATAATAAAATTCTATGGTTTTAAAACAAATTTTGAGACTTTAAAGGTGAATAGAACATTTGATTCCATTTTGTGATTTCATTGGTTTAATCTGACTTTTACTTCCTAAGGGATGCATTCAGCAGCTTCCTCAGATCCACTCTTGCTACCTATAAGTAAAATCTTACAAAAGGAAGGCGTTGTAAAATCATGGCTCAGGCCTGTTACTTTGGTTAACTAGAAAAGGACTGTGGGAAAGAGACTCAGCTGAATTGGGGGTAGAAAACAAGTTACATAACCATGGCGTGTTCACATCGTAGTGTATGGTGGTTAATTATGTTTGTTGTGATTTAAAAGTATGTAGCTGATAATGGGCTAACTGCTCAAAAAGGCCTGGGTTTTGCAATAAAGCAGCTCCCCTTTGCCCCTGCCTGGAGACTCTGTCACTACGGACCCTCCACTCACATGTTCTCCTTCCAAACTGACTTTGCAGAAATCTTCTCATACACAGACCTATTTGTTGCTAAAGCAGCATCAAACAGGTGGATGACTGAAGAGGATGAGCACCTATGTAACACCTAACTCAGCACTGTGCTGCCTCAATCAGAACCATCAAATACAATCTCCCTGAAGAGATGACTCAAAGGCATAACATCCAGCCTTGTCACACCACTCTTCTGATAACAGGCTGGTTTTTACTTCCCTTTTCTTGAATCCCAATGCTCTTGCTTACTCTTAAAAACATGGATTATGGTCTTGGAAGAGTAGTCCAAACAGAGAGAAAGAGAAATGATGGTGGGGGGAGCCACTGCATTACCAAAACTTACATATGTAACTAATGATGACAGTAATATAAAAGCTAGATTTAAATAATCAGTTCTGCTGAAGCTGGCCTTATGCTTTTTGTCTAGATTTTCGCAGTTTCATTTTCACCACAGGCTAGTGAAAACACTGTATCCAGTTTTAAAATCAAATTCAGAAATCTCTAAAAGGAAACTAGAAGGAAACATGAGTTATAAAACTCAGTATGTATGTAGGATTAATTTATGTATCTAAGTATTTGTTAGTATTATTTCCCTGAACTCCCTTTTTACAACATGACTGCTGAAAACTTAAATATATAAAACCAGCCATGTAAAAATATTTTTTCTGTCATAGCTCATGTGTGATATTGCTCCTGGTTATACCTAAGGGGTAATACTGCTTTCCATACAGCCATTTTAAGATTGTAATTTCCTTCAGATTAAGGGATTTGGTATGTGTGAACCACTTGGAGTATTAAATCAAATGCTGAGCACCTGAAATCAAACATTTTTTCTAATTTTTTAGCATGCAAAATGTAATTACCAGAACAAAAGCCAACTTACCTGTCCACCAGTTTTTTTGCAAATCCGAAGTCAGTAAGCTTGATATGTCCTTCCTTGTCTAGTAATATATTTTCAGGTTTTAAGTCTCTGTAAACTATTTCTTTGGAGTGCAGGTATTCTATTGCACAAATAATTTCCGTTGAGTAAAACAGTCCTGTGCTGTTGTTGAAACGCCCCATGTTGCGCAGGTAACTAAAAAGTTCCCCTCCTGGCACATACTCCATTAACATATATAAAAAACGTTCATCGTGGTTGGTCCAAAATCTGTAACAAAAGTATTGTTTTACTGGATAAAGAAATTATATCTTTGATTTGCTTTACAAATAAATGTCTGTAAAAGGCCTCTGCCACCCCAACCATGTATATAATTAATTCCTGATTCCTTATCTGCAAATATTAAAACCCCCAAAAATCCAGCAGGATTATGTAAGACATTCAAGTAACCACCTTAACCTACAATATAAAACAACATAGTTGAGGATAAGTACAGCACAGGCCAAGAAAAAACTAATTGACAGATTCTGTTTCATCATGAAAAACAGGTCTCTTCTAAGCACCAAATAACTGACCCTGACATAATGACCAGACATTTTTTTTTACACACTTTACATTTTACATTATCAAGCATTACCAAAGTGATGAGGGTAAGCAGAATCTGCTTTTGTAAAGACTTTCATGACAATATCCTTACAACTAGACATCAGAGAGTTGTCCTTCTGCTCTCCTATGCCTTCTTCCCTGGAGATACACAATCCCAACTAAAGCACCAGCTGACAGTGCTTGCTCTTCTATGGCATCTTTCACAAAAGCAATAGAAAAGCAAAAATGATAGCAAAACAAGATTCATTTCTGTACCTCAGAATTCATCTATGGATTGGTACCTTCCATTCTTCAGACTACCACCTTTAATTTAACTGTCACATACAGAACATAGCTTTAAAATGCTTCATTACAGAATACTGGAATCTTCTCTTCCACATTCTCCTAAATTATGTTGTATTGAATTCTATCTACATTAAACAACTCACCACATCCCTAAATGTATCTCAACAGTCAAGAAGAAAACAAATATTGTTGAACAATTTAAGAACACTACCATTTAAAACAAAGAAATAACCCTAATTCCATTATAAAAGATAGAGAGCACTGTATTCTCACCTACCTTATTGATACAGTGATACAAGAACAGAAGCTACTTCAGCTTCTAGTCAGTGCTTCTGCAGTATCACAGGTACCCCATGGTTAATCAGGGCATAGAGCCTTGAGAAAGATAAGCAGAAACTGAGCTCCCCAAGACATGAGTAATTTTTACTCCAGAAGATTTTATTTTTGGCAGTGGCACTGAGGCAACCAAGGAAATAAGACAAAGTAACAGACATCAGCTACAGCTCTTTGATTCCCTCAATGATGGAGAAAGCAGAGTCCAAGCTTGTCTTCTGCTTTTATGGAACTTCTTCTCTATCATAGTCATCGACATCATTAATTGGCTATTGATAACGTTCACAGTATCTTTACAGACTACACAAAAACACTCTGAAAATGTATTTTAGGTAATTAGGCAATGTTCACAGTGTGTGAACATTACAGACTTTACAGACTTTACAGACTACACAAAAACACTCTGAAAATGTATTTTAGGTAATTAGGCAAAGCTATACCTACAATAAACAATGAAAGAAGAGCAGAAGTGTGTGAAACAAAGCAAACCAAACATATATGGTAGAGGAAGACCAAAATCTGACAACACAGGAGAAAAAATGTAGCATCTATATTATTAAGCGCAGGATTTTTACTGGAATTAATTTCTTTAAAAACTGACTCTTAAAGGTTTGTCTATGCACTAAAAAATGGTTACATTATTTAGTATACATGAAAAAGAGCAAAATTAAGAACTTCTGTACTTGCAATTCAGACTGCTTTAAATGGTAACATAATACAAAAAGGAGAGAAAAATAAATCACAGCAGCTGTGGTCAGAATAACATGTGGTGTCATTAACTCTACAATTCAGCTCACCACATAAACTTTAGATGCCAAAGAGAAAAAAAATCACAGCAGCTGTGGTCAGAATAACGTGGTGTCATTAACTCTACAATTCAGCTCACCACATAAACTTTAGATGCCATTGTGACTTTCTATAGACAAACAACCCATTTTAGCTTATACAACTACAAGACATAGTTGATTTTTATTAATTCTTCCTCTTTTTAAAAACATGTCAACATTACATCTCACTATGAAGAGCTGCACCACAGTGAGTATGACACATCACTCAATTGTCAGCAAACACTGCCTAGGAATCTCCAGCGATCAGTTGTTGCAAAAGCACCTTAAAGGCGTTTAGAAAAAAAGATGTTTAAAAAAAATACACAGATGAATAACTCCACTGCCTACAGAAAAATTGTACCTCCCTATATTTAGAATAGGTATTTCTCAAAAGCAACAGGAAAAGGGAAAAATCCTCCATTCTTCACACATACGAAAACATATGGAATTTTCAAACATCAGAAAACAATTATGTGCAGCAATACTTTATAATTTTCCATAATAAAATCCTGAAATATTATGCTGCCCTATATTATGACACCTATTCCCTGTTTTGCAACCAAAGGAGAATACTATCTGTGTTAAAGATGGTGAAGCTAATTAAAAACATAAAAACCAGACCCTGTAGACAACACACTTTAACATCATTAAAGCTGAACTATATAATTTTTCCCTGGTTTTGCTAACACTTACAGTAAAACAATAAACAGAAAAAACCCCACACATCTATTGGGCAGGAGGTAGCTGAAAAAACTTTTTAGTCATACAAACAGCTGCAGAAAGTATTATTTGCCATACAATCTAGCAATAATCATCTGCAAAGGCTCATTTAACCTAAAGCACTTAAACACCTTTGTGACCTAAATTTTAACTACCTCACTTCAGCTATGTTGCTTGGAGTCTCCTCTGACAAGGGAAAAAGGCATCACATGGACAATTACATGAGCATAGCTGATGCAACATACTATTGGACATTTCTAGAGCTCTGCTTTTTCTGTTGAAGACATGAAAATTGTTGGCTTTGCATACATACAAAAAGAACTATTTGAATTGTGTCCTTTGGCAACCTGAAAAATTTAGTATTTTGTAAATAAGGTGTGAATGAAATCCAGGAAAACTCCCGTTTGGATTTTTGATTACTTCTGTATGAACATGAATCCTCCCTGTCTCTGACATGTCACCCAAATTTCTCTACTCCCACTGTCCCTGACACACAGACCTACTGAGATGGGGTTTGTTTGGGAGTTTGCTTGTTGTTTTTGGCAGGGCTTTCTTTTAAAGAATTTCCAGATGTACATAGATACATATACAAAATCTGGTTCCCCCTATTCCATCCATACTTCAACCAGTCTAACCAGATGTACTCAGCTTCTCCATCTTGCTTTCTTCCATGAATCTCAAACTCTGCATATTCTAGAATTTGTCTTACTGATGCTATGCCACACACAGGATTTCTGAACACTAGCTGGAAACTAATAACATCATGATGCTGGAAAAAGCCAACATCACAGCAGGGGAAAAGCCTCATCCTGCACAGCTCATTCCATCTTCTGAATGACTTCCATTCTGTTCCCTTCTTTTTCCTCTGATACTTGCCTAACCCTGGCAGGAAGCTGCACTCCCTGCAGCTAGATTAACTAATGCTAATTTTGTCTAATTTTATGTAAAACTGATTAAGGCAGGTAAATGGAAACAAATCTTAGTTAATAGATGGCCGTGTATCCATGCATAAGAAAAGATAAATGCAAATTAACCTGCAATTACCACAGGTTTAGTTATGCCATTAATAGATACAGACTCAGATACACAAGAAGCACTGTGGGGCTGTGAACAGAAAAGTATGATACTTTCTTTAACAATGGGACCACTGGGATCATTAGTTACCTCAATTCCATTAAAAAAAGAAATATTCTTTATGAACTGTGTTTAAATAATGCTTCTCAATAGGTTCCATCACTTAACAACCTCAAATACAGGAATACCAAGTCCAAGTAGTGCAGTTATTTAAACTTTTTAAAACTAAAGTCCACAAAAGTTCACTTAAGTTTTTAAAAACTAGCTGTTTAAGTCCAGAAATATCTTTAGCTATTTACCAGTATCTACAGCACATACATGTAGAAATATTTTCATCACAATTGTAACATCAAGAATCATTCTAGAAGTCATTTTCATGAGCCAATCCTAACAATTTGTCATTAGCGTTTTCCTGTCATTTCAGGAAATGTCTCTTCTGCAGTGTGAAGATAAAGAAAACACTTTATAATAAATTAGTGTTTGAATGTTTAAATAATGCCTCTTTATTTTAAATTATTGATTCTTCTAAAATACATACTTCATTCTAAAGTCTATTTTAATCCAGATTACATATGAGGAATTAAGCGCTCAATGTTGGTTAAGTACGTAAGAACTTGCAATGAGACTCTGGAGTACTTTAACTAGCAATTTCTGCATGAGAGAAATGAATTAAAAAATAAAACAACTTACAATCTGATCAAAAAAGGGTGGTTGACTTCTTTCAAGACAGACTTTTCATTGTGCACATGTTGCTCTTGCTTCAGCCGAATGACGTCAGGAATGCTCATTACTTTCAGTGCAAAGTAACGCTTGCCCATTTTTTCCTTCACCAGATGAACACGTCCAAAGGTACCTGTGCCTGAAAAGTTGGAGAAGAAACATCAACTCAGCATAAGGGAAAAAGAACAAAGATAATTTGCTAAATTAAAACCTTCAGGAACTCCAGTTTTTCAGGTGAGATTATAACTTAAATGTGCACAGAGAGGCAAAGTGATTCAGTAGGATAAGGAAGTGATGGAAAAAAAATACATAGTATTTGCTGATCCTTCTAAAAATTAATACATTTTTAAAATCTGCTTATAGAGCTCAGTGTTATATCACTTGGAAACAGCAGCTGTCTGGGACCCTTTTTTTTTTACAGTTAATGTACTCCTTTTCAAACTCACTCTAAAAATAATGAAGGAAAATTAAAATGTATTGACTTTTAAAAAGCAGTAGGCATTTCTCTATTCAACAGGCATTAAAGTTCTTTTTAAGTGCATTGCACTCAAGACAATCATATATGACTGAACTGAGTACCTCTTTTAGTTTGAAACCGAAGTTAAAACTGCCACATTTAGCCAGACTGCCATTTGTTGTGCAGCACAGTTTTACACATTTGAAGACCAACACAAATTTCAGCTCATGAGGTGATTGTTTATTGTTTTTCTGCTCATTAAACAATGCCACACAGGTTACATTACAACAATGCACCTGATATTTTTAATCCCATTCTCAGACAGAAAGATGTACCACTGTAAAGGACACCTGGCATTGAAACCAAGCACCTAACTTGTGAAAGGTCACTCTCTCCAGAAAAGTCAAAAGCTTGTATTTCAGCTCACTTCCACCCTCTTCTTTGCACATACCCTAGAAAAGGCAGCACACAGACCTGCAACAGTATTATTAACTGGTTTGTTACTTGATTTCAGATTGTGTTGATCAGTTATGACCAATTTATAGTAAATACAATTTCCTAAGATGTGCAACTGGTATGGGGAAGGGAAATACTTTTTTGAGAGATAGGTAGAAGTAAGAAACCAACAAATGAACTTCTAAAATTGCATTATGGGGGAGATGAAGAAAAAAAACAAGGGAATTTTTGCCTCTGGTAGCTTCAATTAATGTTTGAAGTATTTGTTTTCTGTATATGCATTCTCAGCTAAAAATGTTTATGTTATTTAACAGTTTTTCTTTCCAATCACTTAAAATGTTGTTTAAGACACAGTATTTACTAAAAAACACCAAAAACTACTAACTTCAGCAATCCAGTTTTATGGAATTTGCAGCTCCACTACCAATACAAATTTCAAAGCCAGTTTTCAAGATAAAAGTTCTCACTGCACAAACACATCAAGGATTACCATTGTCCAAGCACCAAAGATTCCATCAAAGAAGTTTTACATTCCCACCTGTCCTGAGTTACAGTTCTTTAACCATGAAAACCATATACAGGTCTCAGAAAAAGCCAGCTGTTATAGCAAAGTAAACCATCAGGTTACCCTGGAAAATTTATCATGCTATGAAATCCTTTAACAATGTAGTTACATTACATGGCTATACCCGCAAACAACTTTATTTGCTCAGGGATAGGCTTCTGCAGTAGAAAACCCCCCCAAAAAACAACATAAAAAAACCAACAAACAAACACCAAAAAAAGGTTCAAAAGCTTCCAAGCAGAGACATCTGTCAAAGCTACTTTAAATACTGATTATTTACATTTACACTGCATGCACAGACAAAAAAATTATCTCTGTTATTTCTGAATTAGGAGCTGAAATTTAAATTCTGAGTAAAAATACTGTGAAGAATAATGACAGTCATACGGCACACTAAAACTAGAAACCATCTTTCATTTTTGTGGACTCAGGGAAATTAACAATACTAACCCCATAAGCAAATGTGGTTTTGCATGCATTTTGATACTTGTACAAATGAAGTGCTTCCATAGACATATCCAACAGGAAAGTCAAAAGTGAACATATATCTAATTGTTCCTAGATGTCTAGTGATTACATGTTTCAGAACTTGTTCTACTTGTTTAAGAAATTTTTGTTTTAGAATGCTCTACTTTTCCTTATGCTATTAGTTTATCTTTAAAAACCACTTGTCAGAAATACCAACAATAATAATAGAAATCACAAGTTCCACCTAATTTCAAAGAAGAAATTGTCAGAAACTTATTTAGCAATAGTTCTAACTTTGGAAACACTTCCTCCCTAAAAACATTTCTGCCAGGAACAGCAAAGCCTGGCAGGCTATTCCAGAATAGTGGCAAGGCTCTAATCTACAAAGCCTCTGGGAAAACCAGACGACCACACAGACAGGCGAGAACAGAGAACCTCCCTAACCAGTTTTATTGTTGAACTGATCCCAGGCAGTCTATTTTCAAACATCTTTAGCACACTTGCAAGCAACTATGAAAATCAAGACAATACAGACTGAGAAGCCATCTAACACTTGTTTTCACACATCTCCTCTCAAAATACGCATTTTCTCCCCATCAAGTCTTCTCAGAAAATCCATTAGGCCTGCATTAGCCGGCAGTACCTACACACCCACCACTCTTCCATGGGACTAATTGCTATGCCTTTTTATTGTTGTTTTTTTTTTTCTTAATGCTTAGCCAGTCTTCAAATAACCAGATAAAATTTGCATAAATAAACTACTGCAATTAAAAATCTCACTTTAAACCTGCTCATACTTTTAGCCATTTCTGCTAACATTCTTTAAGTATTCTTTCTTGCAATTGATAGGGAAGAGAGAGAAACAGGATGTCAGTCAAGGTAGGAGGCTGCAACAAGATGTTATTGTGGTTGTTTAGCATAGTCAAGTAAATCTCTTTTATAGGAATATGTTGCTGTGTTGTGACTAGATAGAAATTCTACCCCTCAGATTCATAAAAAGAAAACTAAAAACTTGAAGCAGTAAGTGACACTGAGCAAGACAAAGAACAATTTCTGTTAATCCCCACGAAAGATCTGTTCAACTTTTCCCCCTGATCACCTCAGAGTCCAGCTGTGTGAACCAACTGAAGTTGACCTTTTGTGACAGGTAAGTAAACATTCCTTATGCCCAGCTGCATAAATTTGAGGAAGATTTTTGGCAGCAAAAAAGGCAGTGTTATTAGTCTTCCATCAAAGCACCATTCCAGGTGAGGAGCCACCTAACTCATGGAACAATTTCTGTTAATCCCTATGAAAGATCTGTTCAACTTTTCCCCCTGATCAACTCAGAGTCCAGCTGTGTGAACCAACTGAAGTTGACCTTTTGTGACAGGTAAGTAAACATTCCTTATGATTACCTTAAAATGGAAATATTCTATACTGGTCTGTAAAAATTAAGGGAAATAGTGTTCACAGATTTGCACTTTAATCCTACTTATGTTTATTTCATATTTGGCTCAAACCAAGAGAGCTCGAGGGACATTGTACCATTCTGGATTAGGCCTGGGATCTATCAAGTACTATCCTGCTGAAGGAAGAGCAATGGCTTCATACACCCCCTACATACCCCTACCTGTTTAATTTAGTACATGTTACCAGAGTTTCAGTGTAAAACAAAGCACCTATATGATAAAATCACACCTCAAGAAAACAGTTGTTCTTTCCAAGTCTGAAGGCAGAGTTGTATTTTATTTGCACAGGCCCTTTCTCCCTGCTAAGGCATATGTAAGCAAAGGTCTCTGGCCGTCAGTAACAACAGCAACAAGAAGAGTGCCTGCTTTCAGGATTTTCAGGACTAAATGGGCGAACAGAATAAAATATGCAAAATGCTAACCGCTAATCCAGTATAATCTGTTTACAACAGAAACAATAAAATTCTTGGGTCCCATTGCAAATTCTATGTGGTTGCAGAGCTTGAAGGAATGCCTGCAATCTTCTCCATTAGGTAACCTTCTCAGGTTAAACACAAAGACATGAAGCCAGAATCTGCAGAGGACCAACTTGGCCTATGTATAAAATATATACAAGTAGGGTATTTTCAGTCTTAAAAAACAAGCTGGATTCCCTAATACCATTCAAAAACACCATAGCCAGTTTCCATTCTGCTCTCTTTGAAGCCTGTCATAAAAGAATAAAGAATGTGGGAACATTTCTGATGCAATTTCTTATACTTTTGATGCTAGGTAAACTAATCCTGCAACTTTTGATCAGCTAAAACAATTTAGTGAGTAGTCATGTAGTGACTATTTTGCTGTTTATGGAGATGGCTAATTTAATGCTTAGATTGCCTTGTTATTTGCCCCCATTAATTAGACACAGCTGTTTCAGCTTCCCATCCTTTTAATCCCCAGCTCTTTCTTAAAACCAAGTTTGCCTTGCTCAGATAGATACCATCTGTTTTAATGAAGAATAAACTAGGTCATGTGAGCTCTGTGACCCCAGGGGCTGCTTTCTGTATCCCAGAAGGATTGGCCCTGACTTCAACAGATGCCCTCAAAAATCATCAGATGCATTCACTTTTATTTACAATTAGAAGAAACATTTCCTACTGTGACACATATTAGTCTGATAGCCACAAGCACAACAGACTTTATTCTGTTTAATATCAGAGATTAACTAAGTGATATGTATCAGACTGCAAACAAACTACTGAATGCCAAATTTTGTCTGCCATTTAATCACTGTCTTATTTTGGGATGGAACTTCAACAGCCTAGACTAGGAGATGGGGGTTGTCAATAGTTCTTGACAAAAGTGGCACAGCCAAGAAAAACTAGCCTGCTGAAACAGACTGGTAATCAGAAGATTAACAGCTGGGAGAATGATTTAAGGAAACCACAAGGCACAAGCAACTGTGGGCTTCTACAACAAAATATGTGGTTGGCACACAAATAGGGCAACTCAAAACGAGGATGATGATGATCATTTTGGACATCACAGCAGCCAAGTTTAGATTTTTATTAATGTGTCAACCCATAAACCAATGTCACTGAAAATGCCAAGTTCAGTGTCTTCACTGTTCTGCAAGCCAGCTGTGGATTGTTCACTGTAAATCTCGGATCACTGCATTTACAGATCTGCATTACTCTAGAGGGGTCCAATCTTACACTGAAAAACATATCAGAGAAATAACAAGAAGTTAGAGGAGGTTTTAT